TAATCCTGTCTCTGTGTCAGAGAAATTGTGGTAAATCTTTGATGGTCTGGATTATGCAGCCTCACACTAGGGTGAGAATACTGAGTCCAGCTGCTCAACACCAAACTCGTCACCTTTCAAACACAGCATCTCATGTAACCCACCATACATCTGTCAACAAATCTGGTCAGATATCCCTAAATACCTTAATTGAAGTCTACATCTTTCTGATTCTTATTGTCATTGCCCTCACGGTTTCCTGTTCTATTAGAACATCATCCTTTCTCACTGTCTCCCTAGACTTATTCTTTCTCTACCTGACTGCTGAAAAATCTTCCTAAAATGCCACTTGTATCCTGTCAGGACCTTCTCCTGAAACCTCTGTTTCCCAGCAGTGATAGGCAGCATAATGTTTCCCAAAGTTGTCCACGTCAGATATCTGTGACATGTCATGTTATCTATAATAACAAAAGCATAATACGCTAATTAGACCAGACATCCTTCCAGACATCTTTCCAGACGACCTTCTGGACAAAACCAGGGCTGTGACGGAAGCCTGGGTCCTGGGTGCCAGAGGGAAGCCGGTGCCGGCAGCCAGGGGAAGGAAGGCCTACTCTTGCACAAATTTCATGCACTGGGCCTCTAGTATGACATAAGAGACTTGGCATGTATAATCAAGGCTACAGATGTTAGAATAGGGAGATTATCCTGGGTTACCCAAGTAGGCCCAGTCTAATCACATGAGCTCTTAAAAACAGAGAAGAAAGACTCTAGCTACTAGTACTGTTACTGGCTCAAAGATGAAGGTCAAAATGACAAGGAATGTGGTGGCCTGAAGGAGCCAAGAGATGGTATCAGCTGACACTCAGCAAGAAAACAGGCTTCAGCCCTATGGCCACAAGAAATTGAATTCTGCTAACAACCTGAAGGAGCTAGGGAACAGATTCTCCCCCAAGGCCTCCAGCTAAGAGCTCAGTCCAGCCAACCCCTTGATCTCAGCCTTGATTTCAGAGCAAAGAAACCAGACTTCTGACCTACAGGACCATGAGATAATACATTTGTGCTACTGTAAGCCACTGAGTGTGTGGTCATTTGTTATGACAGCAGTAGACTAATTAATCCAAACTCTCCCTGTACTTTTCAAGACATATTCCAGTCTAGGCCTGCTCAACTAATCTTAATTAATTTCCCTCTGCTCACACACACCAGCTCTTGGTTTCTGCCAGACCAGGCTCAGCTTTGACACAGAGCTTACATTCTTTGCAAAAGGAAAAAGAAAACAGTGAGAAATAGCTAAACATTATAAATTCAGGGAGTTTGTGGCAGATGGAAAGCTATGCTCTCTAGAACCCCTTCAAGAAAGAAGGTGCTGTCCAGCTGTGGGGAAGTGTGGTCAGCAAGCAGCTCCAGCTGTCAGCACTTTCAGGACCCACTTGAGGGACAGAGAGCCACCCTTCATATGGCCATACGCTTTCCAAGGAAGTTTGCATCTGATGGTTGAGCAAGGGAGCATGGATAGAGAGGCCCAGCCATGTTGGCTCAACACAGGCCACTCTGACAAGCGGACTTTACCCCAGAGCTTCCCACAAGGCTGGCGGAGGCTTTATCAGGCCCACATTGCAGTTTTACTTCTTCCTGTGCCCAATCCTGCTCCCTGCTTTCTTTCACAGATTAATTGCTGATAAATAACTTGGAACCCAAAATCTACCTCAGTATCTACTTCTGTTGAATTCACCCTGTGACTAATAAAAAAAAATAAGGCAGGTTAAAGAGATACTGTCTGGGATAGCAACTCAGAGGAATGAATAGCTTGTAAAAATTGTCATGCTACAAAGACTCAGAAAAGTCAAATGAAAATTTTTTTTTAAATTATGGCTAAGGTCATATGAAAGTAAGAGATATCCCAAAATGCAAGAAACAAAGGTGAAACTAAAAATCAAAATAGTAAGAGTGCAAGCTGACATGGTATGAGTAGGGAAATAGCTGGACCTGGAAATAGGACTTGATGGCTAGGAGATTTGATTGTCATTCACACACAGGGGCAGAAGAAAAGAACTTAGGCCTATGTGAAGCAGAAATTGAGGTTAAGAACTCGCATAAACTTGGCACCCTAAGAGATCTACATCCTCAGTAGAAGAAAAACTCAATTCATCTTCCAATGAAATTATAGAGAAGCTTGTTTTATGAGTAAGAAAAAGAAATATCCCAAAATTGCCACAAACATGCATTTGGAGTCCCACTTGAACTATAAGAATTTCCTATACTTAGTAATATAAGAATTTCCAGGCTGAGAATTAAAGTAAGTATGTCATGAGCCAAAATATCTCTGGAGACTCAAGCAACAGCAAATCGTCTGCCCTTGATTCCCTCAGAAAAAAACAATACCAGCAGAAGATGCATTCACAAGTTATGACACATGTTAGGGAAGGATCCAGGATAAGTGAGAGGCAGATAGGATGGATTATAAAATAAGCATAATTAAACTAATACAAGAGATTTAAAAGGTATAGAAGCTACAAGAAAAGATGCTGAAAAAAAGGGAAACCTGACAGATTTGAAAACAAAAACTAAAATAACCCCTAAAATAAAAACCTTAATCATTGACTGTGAAACTCATTCATGGTTAGGTTAAACAGCTAATCAAACAGAACTGAAGAGAGAATTAGAAATGTAGAAAATGGATCTGAGAACATTTGCCCAATATTCCCATAGAGGTGTGCCATGCCGATCTCCCTATAAGATATTCTGTTGAAGAGAGCTTAATTGACCAATATCCCCAACTACTGAACTTCTGGATTCACACTGCATTCACTCTGAGGACTACCTAGTCTCAGGGGTACTAGAGTCAGCTCATTCCCACTCAACATACAATCTTCTAATGGGTAACTTTTGCTCAGGAACTCCTCATCAAAACATTCCCAGAATGACCCTGCAGTCTAAGCTTCTTCCTATCAAATCTTTCTTTTCTTCTCACCCTTCACAGTTGTCAGTCTTGCATGAGGGTCCAAAGGCTCTGCCTATCTATTCCTGTTCCCTCCCTCTTTGTCTTTTATTTCCTACAACTGATCTCTTGCATACCTAATCCTACCTTGCCTTCTGCTTCTCAGAGAAGCCAAGCTTATACAAAAACTAGAGGCCCGGAGCATGAAATTCATGTGCGGATACGATCCCTAGGCCTGGCTTACAATCAGGGCCATCTTCCCCGGCTGCCTACAGCCGGACCCTCCCCCTGCCACCACCCACCTCTGGTTCCCCATTCGCCATCGGGTGATCAGAGGCTGCTGGCGGGGGGGAGGAACCAAAAGGTCAACCATTCCCGCCTGCTTGCTGGCCCTGCCCCCACCATGAGACACCCTTTGTTGGGGTGAGTAGTGGCAGGGCGGGGGCCTTGGCCTGGCGCCACCCATGTCCCCGCCACCCACCCTCGGTTCCCCATTCGCCATCAGGCAATGGGAGCCTGCCGACCAGGGAAAAGGACTGAGAGGTGGTCAGTGCTCCTCATAGTGACTGGTCGAGCAGTCGTTCTGGTTGTTCCACCATTAGGGTCAATTTGCATATTACCCTTTTATTATATAGGATTATTATATAGGATAGAACTAAAATAATTAAGAAACTTTAGCATTGAATATAGGAGGAAGGAATCAATATTAGTATATTTAATAATGCTTTTATTGTATAAAGGCAAGGAGTTTGCCAGAGAGTTTATTAGATTTATATTTTGTTAAGAATGAATATTTAAAATGTAGGGACAAACTCTTAAAGATTACAAATAAGATTCATTATTGCAAACACAGAACGGAGGAGAAACCTATTAGCTCTATGAAAGAAGACAAAGCAAAGTAAGAAAAAAGTGAGATAACTAAAAAGAACAATTTAAGATGGCAGAACAATACAAGCAAAGTAATTACAATAAAATACTGAAACTATTCAGTTTATTAAAAATCAAGCTATATGTGATAACAAGAGAAACACCTAATCTTAAGGTTCCCCAAAATAGAAACTAAAATTATGTAGAAAGATGTTTTAACAAAGGACTTCCTAAAAGAGGGTTGCTTTCTTAATATTAGGGGAAAAAACCAAGGTTTAAAAAAAATTTTTTAAGCATTACAGGAAAAAGGAGGAATATTTCATAATGATAAAAGAAATTTACTAGAAATGTCATAATCCTGAACCTGTAAGCACCTCACAACATAGATTGAAATATATAAACAAAAATAGGAGGAAAAAATTTCCAAGAGAAATGGAAAATTATACAATCCTAATAAGAATTTGATATACTTCTCTCAGGATCTTAGAAATCAAATGAATAAAAATTATTGAGGACATAGATTCAAATATCAAAATTAACAAGAGTAACCTAATAAGTATATATACAATCCAGCACAAACTATTAAAGAATACATGTTCTTTTTAACTACACAAGGAACGTTTACAGTAATTGATTAAATTTTGTTGAGCAAAACTCAAGAAACACAAAAGCATTGGCATAATACAGATCTCATTCTCTGACTACAATGCTATAGTAAAACTAGATATCAGCAACAAAATAACCCCCAAATCCCATACATTTGACTATCTTAAAACACAAGAATTAAGTAATCTGTGATTCAAAAATTAAATCATAAGAGACATTTTAAAAATATTTAGAATTGAACAGCAATTTTTAAAACACATTATTGATCAGAACTAGTGGGATACAGCTGAAGTGATATGGAATTCACAACCTTAAATTCATGTATTAACGGAAAAATGAAAATAATGAGTCAAGTATCCAATCAAAGAGTCAGTATAATATTTAAAAAGTAAACTCCCAAAATGTCAAAGTAAAACAATAAAGAAAAAGAGAATGAGTGGGTAGGATAGAAGTGGTTATTTATTTCAAACAAAATGGTAAAAAAAAAAAAAATAAAAAATGAACAGGCCTTTTAGACAGAAATATGTCAAAAGAAAAACTTTCAGATATTAATAAAATACTTTTTAAATAACAATATGCACATTTTGCTTTCTGCTCTACCATGGAAGGTGACAGAAAATTGGCTTACCAAACTGCAGTTCACAGCAGGTGTATATATAGAGTGGAAAAATCATGCATCTCTTGGCTCACGAATCCTCCCTCGGGGATGAAGTCATAAATGCAGCAAGTGCGATGAGAATAGACCCCTGGAGGAAAGGATGATGACAGACTGTGTGAAGGGCGTCCATACTCCTGAAATTAGAGAGCCTCTCAATTCTGCCACCCAGTTACCCCAGTGAGAGTCAGCAGTGGCAACTTGTGTCCCAACCGCACAACACTCCACCCTGGCCTCTTAACAGCAATTGGGACTGCCCTTCCTGCTGGCAGCATCACAGGACTTTGGTGCCATGCAGGGGCTTGTGCTTCTAATCCTAAAGCACCTTTTGCTTATCCCTTTGCTCTTGTATCCTGTTGATCACCTCGTCGAGTCAGCTGATTACTCACATTCTCCCAACGGATGATTCTCCCATCGTAGTCACATCATTGTCACCAATGCAGCTCATCCATCATCACCAGACATTCATCCCCCCCCCCACCCCCACCTTCCACTATTCGGTAGCTCCATTAATTAGGTCCAACTGTCCACACCTCCCAGCCTTTAGAAAATCCAACATGGAACTCCCCATCACATCTATTTGACTTCTCTACATAGGACTTATCATCTGGTCATTTTCTTGCTAATTTATTTGATTGTTTCTTTCATGTCTTCCCCCATGAGAACATAATCTCCATGGACCTTCTGTGTCTTTCTTGTTCACCGCCATATGCCAGCTCACAGGAGTGCTTAGCATCTTGTGGAAACATAGTGCATTTTTGAACATAGGATCTAAAGTAATATAAGTAATGAATGAATTTCTTCATGTATATCAGGGAATCTTCTCTCCATATGAAGACAAGAGGAAAGATCATTAGCACTAATGTTCACTCTTTAGTATAATCCTGCCATTTCAGAATTTGTAAGCGACTGTAGAGATAATGTTGTGCAGCCCCCTCACGTTCATCTTTCTCTGCCTCATGAGAATTATACTCCTGCTATTCTGGTCCCATGCCCAGATTAAAAGGGCTATACTACATCGATTTTAGCTGGGCAAGATGCCAACCAAGGACCATTTGGGAAGAATTCCCCACAGTAGGCAGAAAGTGACACCTCCCAAGCAAGCTTAAACTGCTCTCAGCAGCCAGCGATGCTAAGCAGGCTCCATGTGACACTGCGCTGTGGAGAGTACACCTGGGCATTCTGGGACATACCATCAGCAGCCCAAACTGTTTCTGGTATAAACCCCAACTCTGGCAAACCTACTCACACAGCAGGAAACCTATTACACCCTGTTAATCACAGACAGTTTGCAGGCCCTAATTAATCCCTGCCTCTTTGAAGGATTTCTCTTTGGCATTTACTTCCTTCAAAGTTGCCTACCAGTTCAACAATCAACAACTCAGGTGATTTTATTTACATTATTTTTGTTTTTGTCAGCAAAGATGTGTGTAGATGCAAAAAAATAAAATGGCAATTGAGAAAAGATGGCCCTAGAATAGTAATGGTATCTTAACCAATAATTTCCCTGCCAAATATTCATACTGTGGCAGAAAACTAATTCTAGCACTTAATGAATCATTTGGTAGAAATTGCTAAAGACTAAATTTTAATAGATAAAACTGTCAGAATTTCAACCTTCTTGGCTAGCTTTCACTGACCACCGTAAGGCCAGTCACAGTAAAGTCTAATTGGCTACCTTTTAGGCTTTTCGAATCACCTTAAATTTTGCTTCCTCTAGAAAAAAGAAGGTTCTTTACCCCTTCCAAGACTAATTTAAGTGACCCTGTGTGTTGTTATAGAATTTTCTATTGACTCTTGTTAATTTTTATTAACTCTTGTTTCCTCAATAAAATATAAGCTTCTTAAAGATAAGGATTGTGTTTTGCTTTCTCATTGTGTCCATGGGGCTTAGCACATGGCCTGGGTTATAATGGGTGCTAAACAAGTGCATTGGGTTGAACAGATAGATGAACAGATGGCTAGATGGACAAAAGGAGTGATGAGTGAACCAGAGTGAACCAGTATAGCAGACTCCTTAGGTACCCGGTATCACAGGGCCCTCTGGTTTTAGGACCTCTACAGTAGACAGTACGAGAAAGCTCAGACTAAACTCTCTCATTGCATTGCACCTCAAACATAATCTGCATGTCTTTCTGCTCAGAGTCTTCTCTGACGCTGCAGGTGCCCATTCAGCCCAGCACAGGCACAGCAGGAGAGCTTACACCCTCCAGGATCCTCAGGCAATGAGGTGCAGGAGCCACTGAATGGACATCCAGCCTCCTACCCTCAGTAGCATCTGGGCATGTCTCATCAAGTCTCAGCAGAATGGAGCCCCTGTTGCCTACAGCAATGCCCTTGATACTACATCCTCATGCTGTCTTTCACTCTTCTCACTCCTTCACGTCTGTCCTGGGCTCATCTGCTCCATAAACTGCCTGAACCCAAGTCTTTGTCTCAGGCCTTGCTTTCATGGAAACCCAAAGAAAAGTGTCATAATGTGAGAATCTCAACCTGAGAAAGATGTCCAAGGACCTAAATAATCTCAAACATGACGACCTCAGAGAACATATGTAAGTATCATATCACATATGGTCCACCACTAACAAAATAATGAAACAGCCCAGCCAGTGTGGCTCAGTGTTTGAGCATTGACCTATGAACCAGGAGGTCATGGTTCTATTACCGGTTAGGGCACATGCCCAGGTTGCAGGCTCGATCCCCAGTGTGGGGTGTACAGGAGGCAGCCTATCAATGATTCTCTTGCATCATTGATGTTTCTATCTCTCTCTCCCTCTCCTTTCCTCTCTGAAATAAAAAAAAATTTAAAAATTTAAAAAGATAATAATGAGAGAAAGCACCGAACACAGTCCCTAGGTCATAGCAAATGCTTGACAAGTTGTTCCGTCCCTCTTTCCTGGTTAATTCCCAACCTTTCTGCATTGCTTCCTCTATAAGCTCCGTGGGAACCCAAAGACATGAGCCTCTCAGCTACTCTTACCACCTTCTATGCAAATATCTCAGAAGCTTTCTTACTCTAAAAAATGAAGGCTCTTGGTGAGTAATTAGAGATCAAGAGAAGTGATCAATGAAAGTTGCAACAGCTCATGTTTAGTGTAAAAAAATACAAATATACTCTAGTGTTTGTATTTAGATCTTCCACTTTTACAGAGAGTAATAATTGATTAATTAATATTATTGGTTAACTAAATGAATAAACTCAATACCATATTACAAGTACTGGAGGATAGCCATTCTTACCTACATAAAGCTTCATTGCTAGATCCATCGAGTTAAATGTAGATGTAGTTCCCAGGATAGTCACATGTAGTCAAGCCTTATAAATCTGACTCTGCAAAATCAGTGTAGACATTGCCACTTCTCCAAATTGCATTTTCATTTTAGGATTTTACCCGAAGATGTGAGATATCTTAGGGTTTCAGGCATCATGGATAACCAGGTGAAGAGATTTTGGGGACAGATTGACCTAAAATCAAATCACATAAGTATTCCACCTGAGACAAGATCTAAACTTATTCCCTGATGAACATTACTATCCCTTTGACATGCCAATAGTGCCACTCATATAAATATGAAAAATGCTATAATTTTACTGTCTCTTTAACACAGAGTTAGAAAAGCCTTGGATTGTTCAAGCAACCAAACTTAAAGTGAGCAAACATCACAGATCCTGTAAACATCTTGTGTCTTAGGAAAGAAATCACAGCACATGCACAGCTCTGATATCACACTTGCAGTTCTCAACTACTTTTTCAAACACCTTGTTTCTGCAAAGAGGGAAATCGTTCCAAGTCTAGGAATTAGTGGTGAGTGAAACTGGCAACATTTGAATTCTTCACGTGTCTAATCTTAACACTATATTTTATGCAAATTAAACTTAAAACAGAAACCCTAAATATATTTTGGACAGAATTTATCTACAGTGGTGGCAAAATTGAATTGCAGCCCTACCACCGTCTCTAACAATACCCCAAAGCCCCCAACAAGCATATGGTTAAGTAATGATCTTTATTGGGCTTGCTATGCAAATGAGGCTTTGAGAGGAGGCCTGTTTTCTCATCAGCATCAAAGTCATCTCTGATAAGCATGCAATCTGGGCTTGCTAGACAATCATAATGTCAAAAACAGTGGGCTTGCAATGCAAACACAATGTCAAAGCCAATCCTAGCTCTTCCTTCCGACCATATTGTCATCCTAAACCTGCTTTCATAGACACACAGGGCCCACTCTCATCTACCATTTAATTTTCTTAATTTTGTAAGTGAGCTAAAATTTATAGTAACCATAGTTAGCCAATGATATATTATGTGATTTTTAAAATAATTTATTTTCTATTATTATTACATGAGATTTTTCAAGAAACTCTTTGAATGTTTTCAGAACATTTGTTTTCATTAAAATATGGAAATAATTCTATTGTGAAAATTAACAATTTAATACCATCAGACTTGACGTAGATTTCCAACCAATTTTGTCAAGTGGATGTTCCTGTAAGTTAAATTAAATGCTCTGATCAATTCCAGGATGCATATTTTTGGACCTTCAGCATTGGTTTCCCTACTTCAATGAGGACATAAAAGAAAACAAACTACAGACTTTCCTCTGTGTTGGGTGCTCTGCCATCCCAACACCCAGGGGTGATTAAACTTTGCTTCTGTCTCTCCATTTATAAATGGGAACCTGGGTTCTGAGTTGTTCACTAGCTTGCTCAAGGTCACAGTGACAAAGGCAGAACACAGACAACAGAGGTTGAAAATCACTTGCTAGAACTTGCTGTCGCTGATGCCAAAGAGAGTTAATTGGATTAAACTATATGTCTCCCTCTGTCTCATCTCATTGGAATTCGAAGAGGAGCTGCTACGATGCCGTGACTAGTGTGTACCACATCTTGTTAGAAGATGCTCTGGGAGTTTACTAGAAAACTTCCTTTGAAACCAGGAGCTAGAGATGATTAAAATTAATGAGAAATAAGATCATTGCCCAAATGGGGAATAGCAAGATCGAGGAGTGAAAACAGACACACGGAGCTTGTATTACTATAAAACCCTTAGCAGAAAGTGGTAGAGCACCCGTCTAAGAGCAGGAACAGAGAGGGTTGGAGTGTGGAGAACAGTTAAGTGGGAGTTCAGAAGCTATGTCTTGCCAGATGGTAGTTTAGTTCAAGCCTGTCAGTGAGTTTCAAACAATCAGAGGAGAGGAGGAGTGAAAAACATCTTTTCTGTAAATGCTTCAAAATGTACATTTAGCACAAATCACAATGCAGACTAAAATGAACGCTGGGTTTGAAAAATAAAAATAAGCTTATTTTTATAAGCTGTTCCAAGAATCAAACTTCCACTAGCAATCAAGGTCGCCTCCCTTCAAGGTCAAAAGGCACATGAAGGTGCTGTGAGCAGTATGTGTGAGCATGAGTAGGAAGTCCTCTCAGGTGACACACCTCCATGCTCTCACAGTCGGTGCCCACAGAGAGCGAAAGACCCGCACGGGGAAAGGGATGCGTGTGCCTTGTTTTGTGAGTCTCCCCACTTGAGAAATATTAATTATCTGGAAAAACAGTACGGTGGCCTGAGGACAGGATTAAATGAAACAAAGATTTCTTCCTGGGGTTGGAGTGGCGGGGGAAGTGAGGAGTGGCTAAGCCCCCAAATCCTCATTCCTCAAGGCCAAAATATTAACAGCAAACAGGAACAAAACACGGGCACACGCCCATTGTAAGGAAGAGCACTGGGAGCCCAGGGTTGCTGTAAACAGCTGCATCTTAGAGATGAATAGTCCTCCGCCTCTTCAGCCTGCCGGTCTCTTTTCACCCAGGAGCTTAATATGAGCTCTGTGTTAATTATACATTACAATTACACAGAGACATGGGCGCGTGTGCACACACACGCACGCGCACACACACTGTAATGATCATGCCGCTATTGCGCACCAGCTCTGGAACTTATTCAGGTCACCTCGGCCCCTGTGGATACGACCTTTGCTGTCTAGTACCTCACCCTTGATTTTCCCAGGAGATGACTACCCGGAAATGAGCTTCCTCCAAAGGGCACACTCTTTGTCAAGGTTTTCCAAGGGAACATATTACAAATGTCATATGCTACGCAGTGACTAAAAAATGTGTATGTGGTGACAAAATCAAAATGTCCTGACCACACATCTTGGGCAAGTGTGGCCCAGTGTGCTGGGAGGGCCTTACCGTACGTGTGGCAATGCCTCGCAAGGCGGTCGGATCCAGAGCGTGGCTTTTAGGTTGCAGGGGAAATGGATGTTGAAGGCTCTTCCTGTCATCACAGCAGTTTGGGTGATTGCAAGATGGGCGGGGGAACAAAGACTCGGCAGAAATATCCCTGCACTTCCCCCAAGCCCAGCTGCCGGCCCTTGACATCTCCAAAAGGGCACTTCAGTGAGCGCGTAGCCCCTGAGAGCAGCGCACAAAATATAAGGCCAGAAGCATCTATTTATGAAGCGTGGTCACTAAATTAATCTTTCCCTGTGCCCAGCTGTGAAGTGGAGTTAATGAGGATGAAGCAGAAGCTGAACGGGGACATAGTTAGCCTTGGGCTGCGCCTCAAGGCCTCACCCCCTTGGCAAAAGAATCAGGACATCTCCCTCCTGACATGGAAAGGGGGTGACAGGGACCCACTGGCAGAGAATCCAGGCAACTTTTACTTCCTTCACCCCACCCCCTCTATTACTGAACACCTGGCAATGTGTGTGCTCCAACACAATGTTGCCTCCCAGGTCTGCAGCCTTCTCACAAGAGTTGGGCTTCTCCATTTGTCAATCGGTCAAATAGTCGTTGTATTGACTGTGCCCCTCCCGTGTCTGAGCACGGTGCCATGTGCTGAAGACATGGCAGTGAACAAAGCAAACTCCCTTCTCTCAGAGACCTCACCGTGCAATGCGAATAACGAACAAGGATGCAAACAAACACACACATTTTCAGGCTGTGAGGAGGCCTTGCTGGAGGCTGCAGCACAGCTGAAAAGCAACCCTAGCTGGGTGGTCAGGAAAAGACTCTCTCAGGAAGTGTTGCTTCAGCTCTGCCAAGCCCCAGTGTGGAGACCCAAGCACACGCTCTAACAAACAAGGGAGGAGAGATATCGAGAGAGTTAAACACAGCAGTGCTTTGATAAGTGCTCTTGCATTTGATCTCCCCAATCAATTACAGAGAGGTGGTTATTATAAGGGACTCAGCTGTGAAATGGATTCAAGTTGTTTGGTCACTGAAACCCCAAAGAGGCCACATGATGTAATGCAAAGAGACCGGCACAAGTCCAAATTCCCAACGTCCCCGTGGCTGGGTAACTTTGAGCATGTAATTTAATTTCTACATGCCTCAGTTTTCTCACTGGGAAGAGTGGGTTGCTACAAGGATTAAATTGCCGAGCATGCAAGAATTACCTGGCATCGTTCCTGGCGCACAGTAGGTGCTCCAGGAGTGTTCATCAGAGCCAATAGTTGTGTGTGGGCTAGGTGTGAAGGTAAGCCCTTTGCAGACTTTTTAAAACTTAATTCCCCTAATGGACACTATTGCTATCACCGTTTTAAAGATGAGGAAGCAGAAGCCGAGAGGACCTAAACAAATTGCTCCATATGTAAAGCTGGTAGGTGAGAAAGCTGGTACTTGACCCTGGTTTGACACGAGAGCCAAGCAATGAGCTCACTTCCCTGTTACAGTGTACCCATACGGGAAGTGTCTAACCCCAAGCCAAGTTCCACCTCTTCACATGGCATCAGAAGCCATCCACTTTAATATTCCACTGCCATCTCATCTTCCTCTGAGAGGATCAAAAGAAAACAAAGGTCCACTCCATTTTGATCTTTTCTTTTCTGGTTTCTTCTCAACTGACATGGCACAAAACTCAAAGATCTTTAGTTTAACTCTCTTTATTAAGAAAATAGGCTGGAATAAGCAGAGCTGGGGTGAGATTCCTATTGTTTTGTGTGGTTTACTTCTTTCTCTCTCTCTCTCTCTCTCTCTCTCTCTCTCTCTCTCTCTCTCTCTTTTACACACACACACACACACACACACTGTCACACATTAGGTCCAGTGATAGAAGTGGTCCATGAACAGTATACCATTTTGCCACTTATCTCCAAAGGAAAGCTGTCTCCATAATTATGATGAAAACTTTGTCTGACAAATCAGAAAAATGCAAAACAGCAAAAGTTTTAATGAGCTTGTCCATGAAAAAAATCCTGCTTTATTCCATATTCCATTGAGATTAAGAATATACAAGGAATCAAACACTCAGATACACATTAACAAAAATAGGGGAGACAAACCAAGAATTAGTTATTTTAATAATAATAACAACTGTGATGACTCAATGAGAGTTTAAGGAATACAAAAAGTATCTTGAAAAGTATATGGGTTTTCACTCATTTGACCCACAGAAACTTATTCCTGAATATTATATTCCTGGCACTGCTCTAAACACTGGGGATACAGCAGTAAACTAACCA